CAATTGTGATAAGCGTGTTGAAAAAGCCTTGAGACGGGACTTTGAGGTATCTGCTAGTTCCTTGAGGGCTTCTGCCACGGGCTCCTTGTTTGCCAGGGCGGCATATACGTGGGCCTCAGATCTTACCACAGTGGACAGTGGCTTACCTAAGAGTTTAAAAGATGAACTTAAAAAGATAGTCTTGGCTACAGCCTTTGTGGCAGATGCATCCTTGCATGCACTCCAGTTAGGTGCCAGAGCAATGGCCTGTAGTGTTACAGCCCGGCTAATACGTGGCTTAGAGATTGGGAGGCAGACCAGTCAGCCAGAGCAAAGGTGGTGGCAGTGCCTTTCAGAGGTGTTAATCTATTTGCTGAAGGTCTAGACAGATTCTTAGTGGAAGGCAAGGACAAAAAGAGGGTCCTACCTTCAAAGAAAAAGGATGTAAAAACTAAAAGGCGTTTTCAGTTCTTTCGAGACTTCAGGGGAGATGATAGACATGGCTACCATAGAGCCTTCAAGGGCAAATGGCAGCACAGGGCTAGGGATAACAGAGCTCGGCCTTTCGCAGGAAAGGCAGGGCAGAACCCAAAGAACAACAAAAAGGGAGCGCAGGCATGATTATGCTGAGATAGTGAGTGTACAGAAAATGGGGGGTCGCCAGCAGTTTTCACACCAGTGGCAGCAGTCAGTCACAGACAGGTGGGTGCTGGAGACTGTATCACAGGGCTATTCTCTGGAATTCGAGAGGCACCCTCCATATCGGTTCTTGAAACTTCCAAGGAATCGTTCAGGAGTCAAACACAATTTACTCAAGGTGGCTATTCAACATCTCATCGATATTGGGGCCATAGAACAGGTTCCAGTACAAGAAACATCGCAAGGAGTTTACTCCATCTTCTTTATGGTCCCCAAGAAAAATGGGGAGTCAGAGTTATTCTGGATCTCAAGTGGTTAAACAGATTTATAAGGACCAGAAAATTCAAAATGGAGACCTTGAGGTCAATTCTTTCGGCTATTCAGAAGGAAGAGTTCATGGTGTCACTGGATCTAGTGAATGCTTACCTGCACATTCTGATCAGGGAGAGCCATCGCACATTTCTGTGGTTTGCTTACCATGGAAGACATTTTCAATATCGGGCTCTCCCGTTTGGACTAAAATCATCGCACAGGGTTTTCACCAAGGTCTTGGTGTCACTGATAGCGGTATTAAGACTGAAAGGTGTGTCCCTGTTTCCATATTTAGATGATATTCTGATAAAAGCTCCCTCAGCGCAGTTGGTGAAGCAGCATCTGGAGATGACAATGCAGGTGTTGACCCAGCATGGTTTCATAGTCAACATACAGAAGTGCGTGTTAGTTCCATCACAGACATTGACTCACTTAGGGGTGTTGATTCACTCCACTTGGGACAGAGTTTTTTTGTCGCAGAAGAAGCAGCAGAAAGTTGTGCAGTTGCTGAGTCAGATTCTCCAGCGATCCTCGGTAGATCTGATGCCTTTGGCGGCCCTTTTGGGAATGATGGTTTCCTGTCAGGATGTGGTGCCGTGGGCCAGGTTCCATACATGCCCCCTTCTGTGTCTATATCAGGAGGACATTGCACACAAGAGAGTGAAGTCTGTGCTTCTACCAGCCTTAGTGAAAAGAGAGTTGCAGTGGTGGTTGGAACCAGCCAGGTTTGTCATGGGAATGCCACTGAGAGATCCCAAGAGGCTAGTGGTAACGACGGATGCCAGCCTGTTTGGTTGGGGAGCTCATGTCCTGGGTCACATGATGGAGGGAACCTGGTCAGAGTTGAAGATGACCAGGAGCATAAATTTGCTGGAATTGAGGGCGATAAGGTTGGCTTTGGTTCACTTTCAGAGATTTCTGAGGTAACAACACGTTCTCATTCACACAGACAAAATGACGGCCAAAGCCTTCATAAACAAACAAGGGGGCACCCATTTCAAGAGACTGATTCAAGAAGCAGTGCAGGTGATGGAATGGGCAGAGGAAAACATTCTGTCCCTCAAAGCTGTTCACATGGCAGGCCGAGGAAACGTAGTGGCAGACTGGTTGAGTCGTCAGACGGTGGACCAGTCAGACTGGATGCTCCACAAGGAACTATTCAGTCAGATATGCAGGAGGTTTGGAGCAGTGGATGTGGACCTCTTTGCAACGCACCAAAACAAACAAGTGGATGCTTTTGTGTAAAAAATAAGAGACGCCAGAGCCATGGGGATGGACGCTCTGAGTCTGTCATGGCCAAAGGGTCTGTTGTATGCCTTTCTACCGGTTCCGTTAATCCCAAAGGTGGTACAGATTATGGTGGATCAGAAGGCGGATCTGATTCTAGTCACGCCCTTCTGGCCAAAGAGGGCGTGGTTTCAAGATCTGCTGCGGTTATCAGTAAGGGATCCGTGGCGTCTGCCAAAAAGAGATTATTTGTTGATGCAGGGTTGACTTGTCACCCGAGACTGGAAATGTTGCAACTAGCAGCTTGGAGATTGAGAGGCGGCAGTTGAAAGACATGGGGTATGAGGATAGGGTGGTGTCCACTTTGCTAGCCTCTAGAAAGAAGTCCACAAATTCAGTGTATAATAGAACCTGGAAGGTGTTTGCTGATTGGTGTGAGGGACGGTGTCTGAATCCACTATTGGCTAAAGTAGGGGAAGTATTAGCTTTTCTTCAGCAAGGGTTAGATCAGGGTCTCAGCACGAGTACACTGAAGCATCAGGTGGCAGCTCACTCAGCGGTGACGGGCGCAAAGAAGGGTAGCTCGTTAGGGCAGCATCCTCATATTAAACATTTTCTGAGGGGCACTTCCCTTATTAACCCTCCACAGGTCCATAGGTTCCCATCTTGGCACCTAAATACTGTATTGAGAGCTTTATGCGAGATGCCATTTGAGCCCATGGCCTCCTGCCCAGTTAAGGAGCTTACCTTTAAGACGGTGTTCCTGGTAGGCATTACTTCAGCTCGGAGGGTGTCAGAGTTGAAGGCGTTATCTGCGCACAAAGATTTGTGTGTCTTTCATAAGGATAGGGTGGTCCTTTGTTCGGATCCAGCCTTTGTGCCTAAAGTTAATTCTTCCTTTCACAGGTCAGAAGATATTGTGCTGCCATCCTTCTGTCCGGACCCCAAGCACGAGAGGGAGAAAGTTTGGCACTGGTTGGATTTTCGTAGGGCACTCAGCTTTTATCTGGACAGGACTAAGGGGTGGCGAAAATCGGAGTCCTTGTTTGTGGCCTTTAGAAAATCGGTGTTGGGCAATGCGGTTTCCACTTCCACCCTTAGTAGGTGGATCAGGGGCTGTATCATTCTGGCTTACAAGGCGCAGGGAATGGTTCCCCCTGAGGGGATTACAGCTCACTCTTTATGAGGAGCGGCCACATCAGTGGTGTATAGGGGATTCCCGTCCTTAGACATTATTTGTAAGGCAGCCACTTGGAAGTCTACTCACTCCTTTACTAAACATTATTGGATAGATAAGGTGGCTTCGGCTGAGGCCGCATTTGGCAGGAGAGTTCTTCAGCATGTCCTGTGAGTTGCAGAAGTCGTCAGACCTGCCCTGGGGAGTACTGCTTTTTTATTTCCCAGGAGTTGGGGAATTCCTTCATCGGCCAGCACTCCACTGGGCCACCACATAAATGTGAGTGACTGAGCATTAGATGCTACTGTACATCTGAGCCCAGCCCTGCAATGGTGGCCACTGCACAACTCAGCCAGAGTTTTTCCAGGGTGAGGGAAGGAGGGAAAGGTGAAAACAGGAGGGGCATAAAGGAGAGAAGGAAGCAGGGATAGGGAAGAGGTTATGGAGGCTGCCGGTGGGGGAAAGGGTACTAAGAGGTTGCTGGTCCCCCACTTGTCCCTTTCTATTTGCCTGCGAAATTCCTGGCCCTTTGTAAAACCAGTGTAGATTTCTAGAACCAGTGTAGATTTCCAGCTCTGCATTGCAGGAGGGCTAGCACCTTGGATTTGTTTTTTAGTTTTTTCCCCCCTATAAGAATATCCTAGACATAACTGAAATGTGAATCAGTGTGATTTAGTGGCTAGAGTACTGGGCTGAAATTTGGGAGACCGGGGTTCAAGTCCGTACTCAGCTATAAAGCCACCGGGTGGTCTTGGAACAGTCACTCTCTCCCAGTCTAAGTCAACTCATAGGTTTATGAAGGGACTGTGTATGAGATTTTGCATCAGGTGCCTTCCAGCCATCCTCTGTCATCACCCAATTTGCAACTGTAGTTTTGGTCCCCCTAATTCATTCCCCCCCCCAGGCTTCTGAAATATTTTTTCCTCCTTCCCATACATTTTGAACAGGGGTGGATGGCTGAGGTACAGTGTGGTCATACCTTGGTCTGCAGCTAATAATAGAGAAACAGCACAAATCCACGTGACAAGATTTCCCGTAATTGTATACCCGCAATCTCGAGAGGAATCAAGGCTCTGCTCTTGTTCTGTGCTTAGCTGACCGTTGATGCGCTGCTGGCTGCCCTTAATTAATTGAGGTTTTATTTTTTCACAGTGTGGGCATGTGCAGAATTCAGATACCTGGGAAGTTTCCAGCATTTGTTTCTCTACTAGCAGGTCCAATGATTAACAGTGCTGTGAAAAGTTTGACCTCAGAGGCACCATTGCTGGGAGATGCTTCACCTACTGCACTGCTCATTTGTTTGTTGGTGATACGATTTAAAAAAAAGGATGAGATGGAGGCGATGGCATCTGTTGGGATCTTAATGTCTTGGCCTCCTTTTCAAGGTGCAACATGACCACTGAAGAACCTTCCTACCATAATACGCTGTGAATTTTATACTGCCGATTTTATGATTGTTTTTTTTAATTGTTCTCAGATGAGGTGAATTGCGTTGTCACTCTTAACTTAATTTGGTCTTGTTAGCCACTTTGTAAGTCTTCACACTGAGAAGTGTGTGTGAATAATAAACAGGAACTGGAAGAAGCATTTGTGGAAAAGATGCCACAAGGAGAAAGGAGTGGGCTCACACACTTTGACTTGATTTCCCTCACCTTCCTCCATGCAGTGCCCCGAGGAGCTGAGGCCCATGAAGGATGGTACTGGCTGCTATGACTACTCCAAAGGAATCGATTGTTCTGATGGCTTCAATGGTGGTTGTGAACAGCTGTGTCTCCAGCAGACTCTTCCTCTCCCATCGGACCCACTGTCCAGCACCATCTACATGTTCTGTGGGTAAGCGTCCTTGAGCTCTGATTTCAAATAGGTCTACAAATTGAACTGATTGTGAACTCTTGTCAGCTACATGTGCTCTTCCCACTGGGTCCTGTCTGCTTAAACCACCATGATATTGCAGGGATATAAATGGATCTCTCAGATACGCAAACATACTCTCACCAGATAGTTAAGGGTGAAGTGCTCTGAAGAAGGACCGAGAGATGCCTATATTTATTTATTTTTATTTATTTGTTTGATTGATTTTTACCCTGCCCTCCCCGCCTTCAGGTTTGACCACATTGGTCTGCAGGGGTTGATGTTACTATATGGTTGTTCATGCTTTACGGCTAGATTGTTTAATGGGACAGATGGGGTGGACCAGGGGTTGCTAATATTGTGCATGCCAAGTGTTTTCAGAAAATAGCTGGGACCAGACGGGGCTTTTGCCTAGCAGGGTTTCTGACTGGCTACTGGAGATCTGATTGGCTCTCATGGTAAGCTGGGTGTATGCAAGAAAATATTTTTAAACAGTATTTTTATTTTAGAAGGCATCCCATTAAACCAAATTGCCTGAGTTGAAGAGTTAAGTTGAAGGGCTGTCTTATACAGGGATCCATAGTAGTGGTCAGTTAGATCTGTTGTGTTGAACAGGTATCTTATGCTTGGGTTCTTGCAGAGTTTTGGTTATTTCCACATTAACTGAGTTTGAAATGACAAGGAAAGAAGAACGGGGGAGGTATGAGCTGGGTGATGAGGAGGCACCAAGAGCAGACATCCAAATATGCTGCCCTCCCTCCCCAATGCTGCAAGCCACTGACAGCTCCTTTTGCTTAGTTTTCTGAGTCTTTAACCAACAGGTTGAGATAGAGAATACCCTTCCTGTATCGATATATAGGGTGCCACTTGCATCCATTACCAGAAAGGCTTTGATTCTGAAATGTGGGACAAAACCTAGAATTCACAGTGAATGCAAGCCACATGGAGTCATGTGTCATTCTGACAGCTGTGCCGCTGTGTCATCTGCCAATAAGTCCTTAGGGCAATAAAGCATGTGGGGGTAAGGCATGCAGAAGTAACTTCCAGATGGAACAAGGCTGCATGATGCCAAAGATCTGGTAGGTGTTTCTGATGGTGAACTAGCCACTTGTAGGCTTCCTTTCATAGCAACATGCCCAAAGTGCAGCACACAGTACTGATTTTGCTTCCATTAGGCACCCTTCCATTTTAGAACATCTCTCAACATTGGATCACAACGTTCAGTCCCTGACAGTTTAGTGCGTCAGAGAGGCATTAGCTGCCCCCCCTCCAGTACTGTATGTACATTTGTCTAGTGGCAGCCACTGCTGTCTCAACACCACTTTGACCTTCAAAGGAATGTATGCTGTGGATTTGTGCAATGGAGGAGCAAATTCCTGAAAGTAACTCCGAAGAACATCTGTCAATTCCTGACACGTCCAGGTGCTCAGGCAGCAGAGATCTTGCTGCGTTCCAGCCCTTCATGGTTCCCTAGGGCTTTGGGTTCATCAACTACTTTTTTATGGCTCTATTGCTCAGAATAGTGAAGAATAAGTAAAGAGTAAACTACATTCTACAGGATGAGCAATGAGTCCAATAAGGGGAGCTGAAGCACGCAGTCATCAAAGCTCTGCTTTCCAGTCAAACATGATGTTGTGTTGATGGACGAGGGGCATAAGAATGGCTGCACAATGCCTTGTGATGAGCCATCCATCTAAATTCAGAGGCAAAGGGCCTGATTTTAGCCCCTGTCACCTGATAATAAGAGAAACACTGTCTGCTGAGGCATGTTGGAGTTTCTCATTTTGTCCCTGTTGTGATTGCTATTGCTGCAGCTGGTGTTATTGTTATTTTAATGCTGTCCTGATAGCCAAGAGAGCAGCATCCCGTGGCAGCAAGTTAAAAAGTTTGTTGAGCTGAAACTCTTCTTTTAATCATAGCCATGTTAATTTCTATGGAATATCTTTTAAAAAATAAGAATGTGTATGCATTTCTGTTATTATTCGGGATCTGAGAGCTCTGTAATGCTCCCTGACCTTGTTTAGGATACTTCAGAGCATCTCTCTACATTGGCTCTGCATATTTCAGTTGTGAATCAGAGTGTAATTGAGCAATCTGCACCTCTCCAGTATCCTTTAAGTCTGCTGCACATCTTGAAGATAGAATGTGGTAAAATCCAACATTTTTTAAAATCTACTTAATTTTTATCCCACCCTTCCTCCAAGTTGTTCAGGGCAGAGTACATCGACCCCTGCATTAATTTATCTTTACAACAGCCTTGTGAGGTAGGTTAGGCTGAGAGAAGGTGTCTGGCTCAAGGTTGCCCAGTGTGCTTTACGGATGAATTGGGATTTGAGTACAGGTTGCCCCACATACTATGATCCTCTAATTCCTGGCTTTCTTAGTAGTGGGGACAGGTGGGGGGTTTGCAGTGAGAACAGAGCCATAAAAAAGCACAGCTCTTTGGAAAAAAATGTTTGTAGTTAGGGGTAAATACATTTTCTGTAACATCGCTTTGGTGGGCTTTCCTTGATAGGGAGTACCATATTATGAAAGAATCATAAGCACATGAGTAACATCAGGAGATTGATTTAGATCATCAGGTTCCAGAAAGTTTTCTTGTTGTTGTTTTAAGCTAGATTGTGACCATTGTCACCTCTTGGCATTATTCATGGGCATCAGTGATGCTGGTTGCTCTCCATGGTGCTGAATATAGACTTTTTGTTTGCCCCAAGAAACAAAGGCCTGGTTCAGATGGTCTAGGAGGTTATCAGCCTTCAGCTCATTGGTCAAGCCATCAAGTGATTTGCAAAGTCCCTGCCCTCAGGGTCATGAGCCCCTCTAGAGCTGTCATTTTTGGCTGCCTTTCAGAAGGGTCTGGTGGTGGAGCATATGCTTAGAAAGCAAATTATATAAGAACATAAGAGAGGTCATGTTGGATCAGACCAATGGCCCATCCAGGCCAGCACTCTGTGTCACACAGTAGCCAAAACCCAGGTGTCATCAGGAGGTCTACCAGCAGGGCCAGAACTCCAGAAGCCTCCCTACTGCTGTCCCCCTAACATCAAGAATACAGAGTATCACTGCCCCAAACATAGTGTTCCATTTATACCTTATGACCTTTGCTCCATATGTTTATCCAGTCCCCTCTTGAAGCTGTCTATGCCTGTAGCCACCACCACTTCTTGTGGCACTGAATTCCACATGTTAATTACTCTTTGGATGAAGAAGTACTTCCTTTTAGCTATTCTGAGTCTACTGCTCATTAATTTCATTGAGTGTTCACAACTTCTTCCATTATGAGAAAGGGAGAAATGTACTTCTTTCTGTCTTCTCTATCCCATGCATAATTCTGTAAACCTCTATCATGTTACCTCTCAATCATCATTTCTCCAGGCTACAGAGCCCTAACCTCTTTAACCTTTCTTCATAGGGAAGGTGTTCTATCCCCTGGATCATTTTAGTTGCCCTTTTCTGCACCTTTTCCAATGCTATATCTTTTTTGAGGTGCAGTGACCAGAACTGTACATGATATTCCAAATGAGGCAGCACCATCGATTTATACAGGGGCATTATGATACTAGCTGATTTGTTTTCAATCCTCTTCCTAATAATCCCTAGCATAGCATTTACCTTTGTTTATTGCAGTTGCACACTGAGTCGACATCTTCAGTGAGTGACTCCAACATCTCTCTCCTGATCAGTTAGCACAGGTTCAGACCACATTAACATATATTTATAATTAGGGGTTTTGTCTCCAATGTGCATTACTTTGCATTTGCCCATGTTGAACCACATTTGCCACATTGACTCTCACTTGCCCAGCCTTGACACATCCCTCTGGAGTGCCTCACAGTCCTCCCTAGTGCCATGGTTCCTGAGAGGAGCCACAGGACAGATCTCTGAACAGTGGAGAAGGTTTCCCTGTGGCTCTGACCTTTGGTTTGTTCATCACTACAGTATAATTCCTGGTATTCATCTTGTATTTTCAGTCTTCAGCCCTCTTAATCTTCTGCCCAAAGCCCTTGGCGTGGCACCAGTGAGGTCATAACTCTGGCTTCCCTTCTTCTTGCCATATGGCTGTGATATCACATGGCCATAGCTCAGTGAGTCTTTTATCTGGAAAGGCTGAGGAACTCATGGCAGCTTCCCTTAGCTGGGTTTTCTGCATTCTGAGCAGTCACTACACATGGCTGTGGCTGCTAAAACTTCCCCGTGTTTGCATTCCTGATGTTATATCTGTTCATGCGAAAACCTAACAATTAGTTGTGAGTTTAAACTGGCATTGATTTAGCTCAAAACCTCAGAAATTCCCCTTATCATGAAATTCAGGGTCTCTCCCAATGTATTTTTCTTTTCAAATGGAAAACTGCTTTTCATGGCAAATACATACAGTGAAAACTGAAATGGGACCTGAAATGCCACATTGTTCTGTGTATAGGTATTGCGGCTCTGGAGGATGTGGGTTTTTGGAGGGGAGAGGGGCACAGACACCTGCTGCTGATCTCTGCCACCTTTTTCACTCCATCACCAGGTCCTACTGTGAACCAGTGAGGGGATTGCCATGTGCCCTTTGCTTCCCATTTCTAAAATGTCTGAAGAGTCTAGATTGTTTCAGCCAGGGCTATTTTTGGGCAGGAACGCACAGGAACGGAGTTCCGGCTGGCTCCCAAGCTGGCCACGCCCAGCAGGAACTCATTAGCATAATAGACCACACCCAACAGCAGAAACTCATTAGGATTGGCTACAATTAGGGGTGTGTGGCCTAACATGCAAAAAGCCCTGGGTTTTGACAACAAACAAGGTAAAGAGAATAAGAAGCAATAGGTGGGTGTGGCTGGATGACCACACTTCTGGTAACATGGGGGTGTGGCCTAATATGCAAATGAGCTGTGCTGTCAGGGTGTGGCCTAATATGCTAACGAGTTCCTGCTGGGCTTTTTCTACAAAAAAAGCCCTGCTTTCAGCCATGCGTGTGGTGTGATTTATGGCTACTATGTTTTATAGTTAATAAAAATACATATAGCCCTTATGTATTACACAGATGACAGAAGAATATCACAACTAGCAGTGTGATCCTATATCACAAATTTAGACAAGTCCCACCCTTGTGATATTGTAGAACAGCTTCTGTGATAAGTTGTAGTAAATGACGATTATCTAGATGCAAGCCCATTTCATAGCTGATCTTCTCTCAGAAGTTATTCTTAGTGGATCTTCTTCAGACGTTGTTGCCCTAGAATTAACCATAATCATTATAACACAAGGGACACTACATAGCTGAATGGAATCTTAGTATTATAAAGGAGCATATGCTGTGTTATATAAAACATAGTAGCCATGAATCACAGTGATTGCTTGGTTGTGGGTTTTTACACTGTGATCCCGATTTGATTTTCTGCTCTTATATAGAGGCTAATAATAATAATAATAATAATAATAATAAATAAAGACACTTTTCTTCCACTTTCCCCCATTTCTTACAACACACATCTGCACTTACCAGGTTTTGTGAGCTTCTTCCGCCTCCTGTTTATGGGATAGAATATTTGACTTCCTTAACATCAGCTTTAATATCTATGGTGTTTTTTTTCCTTTCCACCCCTGCAAGTTGGACTGTTTTAACCTTCTCTGTCTCCTGACCCCCCCCCCCCCCCCCCCAATCACTCCTGCCATTTTGAAGGATTGGCTTTTGTTTGTTATTCATTGTTCCTTTTGTGTGGGTTCTCTCTCAGCTGTGTTGAGGAATACAAGCTGGCTCCAGATGGCAAATCCTGCCTCATGTTATCAGACATCTGTGAGGGCCCCAAGTGCCTCAAACCAGATACAAAATTCAACGACACTCTCTTTGGGGAAATGCTGCACGGCTACAACAACAGAACCCAACATGTCAACCAAGGGCAGGTTTTCCAGATGACATTCAGGTATGTGTTGTCATATTCCCCCTTTCCCTTTTAGTAGAGTGAAACAGATCTGCAAATTCAGGTTCTTATGCTCAGAATCATGCATTTGCAATACTATATATCTCTAGATGGACCTGGGCATGCCTGTGCATCTGCTAGCATTTGAAAGGCATTGTGGCTCTTTAGACTGAAAGAAGTATTGTCTTGGTGCTGAAAGAATTTTGCAAGAAATTCAAGGCTTAAGAGTGTAACAAGTTTTGCAGAGTTGTTCTGGGGAAGGAATGTTAGCACTCTTATGGCAGATGGAAGTCGGAACTTGGGGCAATCCTTGTGGTACCTGCATCATGAGTATGAGTTCTGCTTCTTAATCTCCATCCAGAATGGATGTGTGGATGTGGCTCAGTGGAAGGGCCTGTGCTTGGCCTGCAGAAGATCCCAGGTTCAATCCCTGGCATCTCCATTTAAAAGACTCTGGCAATAGGTGATGTGAAAGACCCCAGCCTGACATGCTGGAGAGCCTCTGCCAGTCTGTGTAGACAGTACTGACCTCGATGGGCCAATGGTCTGATTCAGTATCAGGCCACTTCATGTGTGTGCATGACTGCAGGTGGGCACATGCACGTACCACTTTGGAATAACATGAACTTTGTCTAGATTTCCATGTTTTGCAGCACTAACAAAGTTACATAGCTCCAAATGGTAACACCTTGCCTGCTATTCACAAGCATGTGCTCTTATTTGTCTATAATCCTTTAAGCCTACTTCAATTACCCAATTAACAGCAAATAAGTTGTCCTAGAATTGATCCACTCTCATTTATAACTAAAAAAAATAGAAAAGGGGGGGTCAGTTTGTGAGAAGTGTTTTGCTTTTTTTTCTGAAATGTACATGCAACACACTCTAAATTTCTGCAATCTCCAGTCTGTTCAGTGGAACCCCTCCTGTTTTTAAGGCTTTGTTGAAATATTTCCATAAACTTTCAGGCATTAGAAAAGGTATTCTGCAGCATGCAGTCATGACTACAGTGATGCATACTGTTAATCTCCAACCTGGAGAAAAGGATATTGTGCCCAAGGAACAGTGTGATGTAGTTCATTTTTGAAGCTAAGATCTGGGCTTTGCTGAGAAGCCTGCAGGCCATGAACTCTTTTGAGGAAGAATGGAATAACTGTAATGCATTTTTTAAAACTTGCTGAATGCAACCTCTGTCTTGCTCCAACAAGCAGCCGATTTGATGAGGCTCAAAGCAGATATGTCCGCACACCAGCAGACTTGGATATATTATTGCTTCCCTTCTTGCTGTATCTCAAGTTGGATGCCTGGTTATATGGGTGTGTGGGAGGTGCTTCAAGGCCCTTTGGAGAGATTCCTCTGGCAGCAATCTGGCCTCTGTCCCCTTTTGTTGTTCTCCTGATCTGGAGAAGCTCAGTTTATATATTGGCTCCAGGGAGGGGCCTGGATCTGTGTGGTCAAGGGAAGTCAAGACTCAGACCCCCAAGGCTATGTAGTAGCCATAAAGGTTTTTATAACTCTTTCCCTTCCTCCTCTTTTCTTCCTTTATGGTCTGAATTGCCCAATTTCATCTGCAGTTTTACTGGCAAGCTGAAGTTGGACACAGCTGCTGTGTCAATGACAGCTGGGACGATTAGAGTCCTGCGAGTCATCTGCTGATTCAGCAGCCCTGTTCTCCACCGCCCTCCTCACCAGATAAAGGTTGATGATGTTGCAAATCTTAAAAGGCTCTTCATGTCACAATAGACAGTGGTTTGTTCACGAGAGGCTGCCCTGGGGCACTCAACAGCTTTCCGAAGGCCTTGGAGAATAATTAGGGAGAAATTCTGGAAGAGCATCTGTGTTCATCTGTAGCAGTGAGAAGGCAAACATGGTTGTGAAATCAGAAAGGGGATGGGGGGGATGGGGCTGTTGCCCGGACAGAGATCTGTGCAAAGAAGTATCTTGCTGTCCAGTCAGAGTGCCAATCCAGATACTTTGTATACTTCGAACAGACTCTTTTCTAATTGTTTTGAGTGTCCCTGCATAAATGATAAAATGCAATAGTGGTCTGATTCAGAGGAAGTTGTGCGTGTTCATCTGTGTTCAAGAAGGGATGTTGGATATAGCTATAAAAAGTGCACAGTGTTTTCCAGTAGAGAGGCATACAGGAAACACGAGGGCATTCAGTTGGACTTGTTCCAACAAGTTGATTAGTGTAGTTCTTCTGTGGTGTGAGGTATGTGTTGGAACTTAGTTTTGTTGTTTTCTATTAATAAATTATATTGGTTTTTAAAAAATGAAACTTGAAATTCAAGCTGAGGTTCTTGGGCATTTGAGGAATTTATGTATTTGTATTTATTTTTACTTTTTAATGACTGTTCTTCCTCTAAAGACTTCAGAGTGGTATACATGGTTTCTTCTTCTCCTCTTCTCTCATGTGTCCTCACCAACCACAACCCTGTGAAGTAGGTCAGGCTGAGAATTGATTGGTCAGGGGTTACTACAGTGAGCTTCGAGGCAGAGTGGGGATAAAAACCTACACCCCCCCATGGCCTGAGTCCGCCACTGTAGTCGCTCTGCCACATTGGTTCTTTTACGTCCTGCACTTCTCTTCCCTCCCTCTAAGGAACTCAACATGGCATTTTAGCATCATCATGAACTCTGTAATGTGACTGAGACTGAAAGAGGGAGAGACTTGTTGAAGGCCATCCAGTAAATTTCATAGCTGAATGAAGTCCCCACATACAATTTAGGATTTTCTAGCCACTTTCTGTACCTGGATGTAGGCAGGTAGCTGATCCATTTGCCTGTGCCCAGACCCATTCTGAACTTACATGAAACAGTACTTGGGAGCAGTCTGTCATAAGTGGGATTGATGATGGGTACCAGCAACCCTGAAAGAGCCCTGCATGCTCTTCTGAGTCCCTAGCAGGTTTATCATGTCTTTTGCACACCTCTGTCCACACATGTGAGCTGGGAATACATTACCTCCGGGGGGGGGGAGCTTTTCTTGCCAAAAGGGCTCCTGGGCAAGTGGGGGGAAAACCCACACCTGGTGTGAGCACTGTTGAGAAATGCATGATTCTCCTTTGCTGGTTGTGTGTGATGTAGCTTCTGAACTCTGTGGTGTGTCAAGAGCAGCTGTAGATGTTACAGGGTGGTACCCAATGAGAGTGGGAAAGGGCACAAGTGCCTCTTGCTTCCTATTCCCTGTGCTCATTCATGTTGTCCAAAATAGAACTGCCTCTTTCTCATTCACACACATAGCAAGATGTACAAGTTCCATGGACAAAAGACAGCTTGCATGTCTCATTACAAACTGTCCCATACCTCTCCAGGATGAAAAGTGTAGAGTAGTGGTTAGATCAGGACTGGAGAGACCCACCTTCAGATCCCTACTATGCTATGAGACTCATTGGGGGGGGGGGGGGGTTGGATCAGTTACTTTCTTTGCCTAACCTAACCTTCCCTTGTAAGGTGGTTGTGGGGAGAGAATGGGGAGGAGAGAATCATGGACACTACCACAAGGAAGAGGAAAAATCTCATAGGTGATAGAGGAAATAAAATAAGTGGGAGAAGCAGATGTGATGCATCTTTCTTCCCCCTATAGTATTCAAAACAGAGACCTACAAAGGCATGAGGACCATGCACAGCCCACTCCCTCATGTCCTTTGGTGCTCGAAGCTGTTCTTCATTGTGCACATAAACAGAGATGATCAGCATAGGTCAGATGTGCCATTTTGCAGTTACCAATCTCTCTCCTTTCTGCTCTCTCTCTTTTAGAATGAAAAGATAAACAATGCCTTACAACTGCTGTGAAAAGAAATGATACACATATTGTAAAGCACGGTGCATAGCAAGTGTACATTTTTTGTGTATTTCTACATCTTAATGCTGGGTCTCTTTCTGACAATTATGTCACTAGTGCTAATTTTCTGGATTTAAATGTATGCTTTTAGCTTGTCTGTACACTTCTGTGTACAGCATTTGCATGTGGAGTCTTTGTCTAGTTGCTGTGCAGGGACAGGTGCTGTGGGGTTGGAACAACATTCCATCACCCTGTGACAAGGGATGAGAAGGGAAGCTTAATAGGGGAGAAATTATTAACTTAAAAGATGCAATTTGGCCTAATTTTCGTTGATATTCAAGGACCTCTCTAAGCACCAAGGGTACCAGCTGTTTGAGAAGCCCTTAATTTGGTGCGTGTGAAACATAGCAGGAAACCGCCTAATACAGGGGATTAAAAGCTTTCTTTGGCAAATCAGGAGCACACCGTCAGAATCAAGGGACTGCATCTTTTGGAGAGATTGATAGTTCCTTGGATCCCTCAGCTAAAAGAATGAGTCAGCCTGCTTCCCAGGTCTCTGTAGCTTCCTGAATAAATAAGTACATGTGTCAGCATGGGACGAGAACAGGCAATGGCTGCTAGAAGGTCTCTTTCCCGGACCTTTCCTGGGCCTTTATCCAAGTATCTTCTGGAGTCATACACCTTAGGCCAACTTTAGAGAACGAGCTAGGTAGGAAAGAACAGGGAGACCCAGAGAAGTTTGGATGGAGGCAAAAGAGTAAGTGTGGATTAAAGGTAATAATGCAATGAATGTACATCTTTCTACATCTTAGGGAGCGATGGTGCAGGTAGTACGACGCCTGCAGGTAACATCAATAGCGAACAGCCACAATGGCTGTTCAAATCCCCACCGTGGCCGGGTTGAGCCCCCGGCCCCAGTCCCAGCTCCCGCCAACCCAGCGGCTCAAAAGTAATAACAAGTAGACAAATGGGTACCTGCCCTAGGTGACAGGGGGGCACCCTCCTCCTGGTTCGTGCCAGGAGTGCGGTCGATGGCGGCAGTGGCGGCAGGCGGAGCGGTGAGAGTAATGGCGGCGGAGCAGTGGCGGAGCAGCGACGATCCCAGGAGGCGGCGACCAGATTGAGTGGTGGAGGCGGAGCCAGGTTGACGCAGCAACGAGGGGACGCAGCACGACAGGAGCCCAATGGGACGCATAGCCGGAAGCTGCGCCCCGAAGCA